AAGCTTAACTTTATTGTCATATTGTCATAGATAATATGAATTTCATTGCATGATTTTATTTTATTTATCTATTTACTTTTAATTATGAAAATCCTTGATATAAGTACGATGTGTGCACCTCACTTGCCAGCACAGTTTTCCTCCACCACAAAACAGTTGCTGCTGAAAAGTAATATAAACCCACTATCACACATCGCTCCCACCATCACAAGGCTTTCTGTTTCATCTGAGTTTATTGGACCTAAATGCAGCACCCCCAGGTGTCCCTAGTCCTACTGTATCTCTGTGATCCAGCTTCTCCTCTGTTGTCCTGGATAATAACTCTGACTCATCCGGTAACCTTAAATAAGAGAGCAGTTTTGAGACCATTACTACTGAGCCCCCCTGCGGAAATTACAAAGACCTTTGTCCCATGAAAACCTCTGACCCCCGATATCTTCCTCTGCACTTATCTATCTGACATTCACTGTTGGACGGATCAGAAACTCCTGCAGCAAACATGTAGGCAACATGGAGATTATGTACTTGGCACATCCAGCATCACTTATTGTTAGACTGTTTTGTCTGCTTCTTGCAAATGTGCACATTTACACACAGGTTACAGACTTTTCAAGCAACAGCGCATATATGCATTTAGATGTTTTTACCCCCTGCATGTTAATTCCCAGTGGAGCTACAGTTGTCCTCAAATGTATTCATACCCATCCAATAAAGAGAAGGCAAAATTCACAATAGTCACTCAAATAACAAGAAACTGAAAAAAGTATTAATAAATAAAAAATTGCTAAATTATAATTTAGAGAAATTCAACATTGCTTTTTAATTGTGGTTGAAAAGAATCATTTTTAAAAAACAAACAAAACTGTCCCAGACAAATTAGAGCACTTTGCTGATGAGCAGTGGGCCAAAATCAAACTACCTGTCAACAGGTGCAGGAGTCTGACTGAGAGTTACAGAAAACACTTGATGGCAGTGATTGGCTCAAAGGGTTGTTCAACTAAATATTAGTTTACGGCTCCCATCATGCTTGTTTGATTGTTTGTTTGTTTTTTATATATGTTTCTGTTAAACCACAATTCAAAAGCAATGTCATGATTTTCATTAAATTTTTATTTATTATTACTTTTGTCAATTTCAACTTATTTCAGTGACAGCTGTTTTTTTTCCTTCTTTAATGGGAGGGTATGAATACATTTGAGGACGACTGTATGTATATAACTGTGGTTCCATCTTAACCATTTAAGAATAGTGAGCAGCCACAGCACAGGAACCAGGAGGTAGCTCCAGCTTTCAGCCACTTGTAGCAGCATTTCATACGTTATGTCTTTTGGTATTGGAGAAGGTTTCACTCAAATCTGGAGAAAACATTTAAAATCTGAATAGAACAGACCATCGTTAGAATTTAAACCAAAACCTTTTCAATTTCAGGTAACAGTATTACCCACGGAGCTGCAGGGCTACTGGAATAGATCTGGTTATATAACATGAGACAGCATAATGCTATTTGACCAATCATAAAAATGAGCTCCTGTTAAAATAATGTATTAGCTTATTATTGATTTAGAAATATAGGCCACTCAGCCGAGGTGGCCGGTCTTGCATTGGCCGTCTCAGGCTCTGCGCTCTGTCTGTTTTGCAGAACCTGTCGCTCCGACCAGGTGGCATTGAAAGCATCAGTGTCTACAAAAACACGAAGACGTTTTCATTTTAAAACGCATAAGTTCTGCTACATTTACACCTAGCATCCACACTACTCTGTAGTTTTAAAACCACTAAAGCCGACACTTTTGGACCCCGTTATAGCTTCAGTTCTCCAGGATTGGATAGTAGAAGCTGAGAGTTGGAGAGGCGATGATGCAGACATCCATGTTTGCTTTGTGACTGGATCGCCGTTGTGATCATATTAAGTGACAGTTTTCCAGAAAAAAAACAAAGATATCAGTCTACCAGTAGATAATTCAACATGAATCATGAATTGCAGGCATTGCTAAACTGGTTGTCTACGCTAGAAGTGCTTTTGAGGAAATCTCTGGTTTTACTTTTCAACATTGCTTCACCTTCTTCAAAGTATTTCTAACAACTAAGCAACCAAACTCCTGCTTCATGTTTACACCAGCACCTGCATTCAGAGTGTACGTGAACGGTCATGTGATACGTGTTTTCAGGCATGTTGGTATGCATAGAGATTATATCTGAAACGGCGCTACAACGTTCGACTGGATGGGGATCGCTTTCATTTTAAAACAGCATCATGAAATGAAAAGTGTTCGTGTGGGTGTAGACTGACAACAGTCAACAAGCTTTCTTCCTGGGCTCTCCCCTCTTCTTCTTCTACATGAGTACACTTAGTGCTGTCAAGCGCTTGGCTTCTCCAACCACTACGACGTGGAAGGCACCCAGGTGACTCACACCACAGGAAGGATATCAAGGCATCACTTAAAGCTCAACCTGAAGAGGACTGACCTTCTGTTCCCAGAGAGAAAGAGTTCTCAACTGAGACTTTAACATCACCACGCTGGTGTTAAAGTGGAAACCTGGAAGTCACCCTGGATGGCAAACACTGCAGCCGTAGCCGTCTGTTGTTGATCCTTCCTTTACAAGATCAGGAGGACTCCCCATCTTCTTACCAAGGATGCATCCCGGCTGATCATCACCTCCTACAGTGCTACAGCTCCCTCTATGCTGGAGCCAGTGTGCCGACCATCAAACCTTTACTATCCCATCGCTGCTCGTAGTCAACCTTCCCAAGTTTTTCCACATTACTCGCTTCTTTTTCCCTCGACTGGCACCCACTTTTTCCAACACATTGGTCCTGGCCTATAAAGTAGAGAGAGGAACTGCTCCTTCCTGCCTCCAAAACCAGCAGACACCTGTTTAGCTGCCACATCACTGGAGGCTCTTCTCAGTTCCGACCTCATAGTGGTGAAATGAGCTTCCCGCTAAAGTCAGGACAGCTGAGTTCATCCTCCATCTTCCACCATGGCTAAATATCCACCTTTTAGACCACATCTAAAAATCCTTGCTAGCATTTATATTATCGTATTTCATCTCTCAATGTGTCTCTGGCACTTGAAGTGTAACACTGAGAATGGTTGCTGTCATCTTTTTTTTTTTTCAAAAGGACATGGTATCAATTTTGGATGATATCTAGTTCTACATCTGATGTGTTTATCACAGTTAAAGGTGAAGTATGTGGTTCTAATCCAGTACAGTTATTTTTTTGCCAAATTCAGTGACTATCTCCTCACAATCCCCACAGTCTGCTAACGGTCTGTTCTGCATGTGCGCTGAAGAAAAAAATGCGTGTTCATACACAGCCCTGGCTCTGTAAATGGGGAACAAAGTGGCTTGGACTGATCTGCACAACAGTATACCAGCGTGTCCTGAGCACATTCGTGTGCTCCTGCACAGGACAAGAGGAAAGGGAGGGGGAGGAAAGAGGACAGTGGGAGCAAATCTGGCACATTCTAGCAATCTAAAAATGCTAGCCAGCTAGATACTGACAATCTTTGTTCAGAATCACAGAGGCTCCCTTGAATGATGGTTAAATAAAGCTATCTGGATGTTCACTTGCAATTAACTTATGTGAATTTAAAAGCGTAAATATTTTAGATGATCCTCTTAGGACGACTGATACCATGTTAAGGATACTTCAGTGAACACATATCCTTCCTAAATATCTCATCAGTGCAGCCCCAGAAAAGAAGTATCATCCACTTTCTCATCTGGTAAGTCCACAACCAGTTCATGATTTTCTAAGTTTGTCTTGTCTGTTAACAAAAAAAACAAAAAAAAAAACAAAAAAAAACACGTGAGGTAAAATATCCAAAAACATTCACAAAACATTAACAGACCACCAAGTTACAACCAAATCTGTGCACAGGAATGGTTCACATATAAAGCTGATTTCGTGTGATGTACTTGTGGACTGGCAAATCTGACGATCATCTTCGGCATGACTTGAAAGTGAAACAAAACCCTGCCAGGGAACCTATCTCACTTCTCCTTCTCGTGTTCTTGTCTTGCTGTAAGAAACATATGAGCAGTAACGCCGTGTGTCACTGTCACAGTGGTGACAGTCGACCGACGGCAGCGATCATGTGTGTTCTGCAGCAGAGTCTCACCTGAGGAGTTGTTACTCTGAAGGATGCCCCTGTGGTGGGGGTAGCAGGTCGAGGAGAGATGCTGTTCTGGGCCTGGGCCTGAGCTTGAGCTTGAGCTTGTGCCAAAGCCTGCTGAGGAACCATAACCAGTTGGCCTAACTCCGTGCGTACCAACACCATCCCTGAGGAACAGCAGGAAGCATTAATTAACATCACTGCCTCGAAATGCTATTTGAACCAGCAGCTAGCAAAATACTGTATATCTTGAATGTGAACGCAGATATAAGCAAGGGGCCTGTAGATGTTCTACTGCACTCCAATTCTACAATTCTCAACAACAATGTTTACAATGTGATTTAAGAGAATCGACATTTCAAGAAATGACTTTATACTATATCACAATTGTGCACAAATACCAGGAATTAAATGTAGCTGTGATCAGGAGCTAAAGAGCACAGACTCTTTGCTCTTTAAAGGCTAAGACTGCAATTATAATAGTAGCACTCCTGTGAAGTAGCCGCTGTCAGGTCAAGATAAAGTATTTTATTACACATTTGTTTATCTTTGCTGGATTTCAAGACATGAGCTCAATAGAAAGGTTAACAGCATATTCTGATCACACTCTTCTGAGGTCAAATGACTCAGAACAGCTTTGGAGACAAACCAGCAGCTCAGCACAGAAACTATTCCGACCACTGTCCACAGTTATTGCCTGTCCTTTTTGACATTTACGAGAAGATGAGCTTCTATTGAAGTTACAACCAGCTAAAAGTGATTGCTAAATTAGGGCTACAGAAACTACGCAGCCATCGACTGAGCTATAATTTTCCCACACTGAAAATAAAAGTGGGTCCAGTACTTAATTTTGGCCAACACAGACACCTACGACCTCAGTTGAAGGGATGGCTGGAGAACTTTGGGGAACATTGATCTGTAATTCTCCAAGTATTAACAGACACAGCGGTCTACATGATTTTTAAAAATCTACCCAGAAGCCCAACATTCCTTTGCACATGCTAAAGTGTTCTTAAGAGTTAATATTTATACGGAGCGACACAGTGAAGGCAGACTCACTGTGGAGGGCAACAGGTCTCCACTCTGTAAGTTGTCATGTCTTCAGCAGCAGTAATATTATGCTATTATTAACAGTACTTTAGACACCTACTACTTTTAAGAAAGTAACTCCACCATCCTGTTGCCTTGAACGCTCTATTGGAATTCTGCACACCTTCTGTAACTTCTTGATGTTTGGTAGCAGTAATCAACCATCTTTGACCTGCTGACTCCCTGCCAATGCCCATGTCATATAATATGATATTTATGATGTGGTTTATTGCTTGTTTGTTCTTTGATGTCTTTATATTAACTACTCAGTGAGCTTTTGAATTGCCCCTAGGGGATAAATAAAGTTATTTGAACTGAATTGAACTGAATAGCTGTGGTGTCTGCTTCACTGTCATTTCTGTCACTGCACAGGTGGCATTTTGGTTAATAGTCTTTCATTTATGAATACACTAGCAGTGACATGTTTTGCACATTTGCCTTGAACTGTGTGACAACATCACTACATTTTAGAGTTTTTTTACAGTGAGCAAAAAAATCAGGTTTGATCTCTCATGCAGAAGTCAAAGAGTTAAGCATCAGCTGAAATTAACTGTCTGCAACAGACTGGTGACCTGTCCGGGGTGTCCCCTGCCTTCGCCCTAAGTCAGCTGGGATAGGCTCCAGCCCCTCGAGACCCTAGTGAGGATTATGCGGTGTATTGATAATGGATGGATGAAATAAATAGCTAAATGTCTTCCTGGAAAACTTATCTTATTATTACAATGCTTTTAATGTATGATTGTTTTTAAATGCACTCAATGCTTTATGCTCTTGTTGTTTTGCATGTTGTTTTTATTAACTGTGCAGCATCTTTGAGCATTTGGAAAAGCACTTTATAAATAAAATGTATTATTATTATTATTATTATTATTATTATTATTATTAATTGTGGTTGCATATTGTCCTTTAGTGTGTCAAGGATTCTTGGTTCAATATCAGTACTTTTAGATGTTACATGACAGCAGTAACGCTGATTGCCCACGGGGTCCCCCAGGTCAAAACCTGAAGCACTCACAGTGTGGCTGCTATGAACTATAGCATACAGGTAAATTGTGGACAAGAACAGCAACACGGCACATATGATACACACAGAGGAGAACTTGAGATCTGAACAGGATGTCACACATACAACCTCCTGCTAGTGAAGACAGTCCTACAATCACTGCACCAAACCGTCAACCAAACCCTCTGGTCATTGTGTTACCAGCACCTCCTCGCTGCTCTCTCCCCCACCCCCTCCTCCAAAACCTTACCCGGCGGGATGGTAAACCCAGGGGGCAGCTGAATGGTCGTCTGCTGCTGAGGTGGTCTGACAATCAGCTGGGGGGCTACAATCCTTTGAGGTGCAGTGAGTCCAGGACGGGGCTGAGGCTGTGCAGGGGTGGCCACGGCGGGCGTTGGGGAGGGAGCTGTGGGTCTGACCATAGTGACAGTGGTGGTCACCGATGTAGTGTGAGCAGTTCCACACACAGAACTAGCTGCCATCACTGTGACACCTGCAGCGGTGGTGGCAGAGCTCAGAGGCTGGCTGACTGTCGTGGTGGTTGTAGCTGCTGCTGTGGTGGTTGTTGGTGTGACAACAGAAGAAGCAGGAGAAACAGTGTTTATTACAGAGTTGACACTACTAGACTGGGTTGACATTACAATTTTGGATTGACAATCGTCTGTTTTGGAAGCCCCAGTGTCTGTGACCGCTTTGTCGTGGTTCCCCTGGGAAGCTGGGGAGCTGACGGATCCTATCCGGGCGCCCTGCTGGACCAAGGCCGACACGCTGGTCCCGTTGCCGTTCTGGGCTATACTGGCCACAATGTGACTCGGGAGTCTATGCAAAGCAATGGTAGGAGTCCCCCGGTCCAGAGCAATAGCCGACTGCCCCACAGGCAGGCTGGCGTTGGATAAGGTGAAAGTCGACGTGTTAATAGAGGCTGTGACCGGTCGGGTAGAGTTTGGTGTAGTTGCGGTGCTCTCCGCGGGGCTAACGTTGTCGCCCACCGCTGTGTTGCTGTTCCTCCGCGTCGTTACAGCTGCGCCGTTCAAACTCTTTATCCGAGCCGAAGCGCTCCTCCGCGGCGCCGTGATGCGTTTTCTCGGTGGGTTCGCTTCCGTCGACGTCTCCGCTGCGCCCGGGGAAACCTTGGAGCCCCGGCTGGATGCAGTGGTGCTGATGCTGGCCGGCGGAGATGCCAAAGTTGACACACCAGATGCAGTCAGTGTTGTGATGGATGCTCCATGTGATTGCGAACCGCTGCTAGTGGCGTTCACACAGGCAGCCGAAGTGGTGGACGGCTCGCCAAAAGAAGGGGTGCAGCCGAGCGAAGGAGATGTGACAGTTTTATCCGGACTCGCGTCTTTAGAGTTGATCTCCTGGCGCATCTCAGGTTTATTCCGCCGTCCTTGTTGTTGTTGTTCTAGTGTTGTGGTGCTCACTGGAGCTGGTAGCGTTTTTCCTAAGTGATGATTAGCGGGGGCCACAGAGCCAGCGCCTCCGTTTTCGTCTGTTTTTCCCACTGGGTTGCTTTGTCCGGCAAGCTGTGACTCCAATGAGCCCACTAGGTCGCTCACGGCTTTTTCATCCACCTCTGAAAAGAGCATATCTTCCAGGGGGTCGGAGGCGCCCGCCATCTCTGATCACAGATAGCTGTCTTATATTTTTTTACATTGCGCCTGCGTGTTACTAGGCATTGTGGGAATGAATCTGACGTCATTAAATGAGGGAGGGGGGGCACCCTTGGTTGTATTTCATGTTTTTCTTCAAGGCTAATTTAATGAAGTATAATGAAGAAGTCTTGTAACTGTGTAGGTACCGTGCTGTTATATAACCATCCCAGACTACTATATGTGGCACACGTGACATACGTTTTAAATTACAGTTATATATTATTTTTTTAAAAATCGGAAATTCGAGGTGTTAAAGATACATTTTGTGGTAGTATTATATATATTATTTGTGCATCGAAAATGTATTCTCTAGCAATATGGGGGCAGGGTGGAGAGCTGTGGTCCCGTGTATTATCGCGAGATCATAAAATGGCTGAACTTCAAACCTCTTTTATACATCCTCAAACTTCCTTAACATTTTCTTCCCTCAAAATAATCGTGACAGACAACAAAAATTCATATTTACTCTTAATACAACTAAGTTGGCCCTGTTTCCCCAAATAATTCACTTTCGTTTCGAAGTACCAGCAGCATTGGAAGGAAAGGATGAGGAGGCATTTTTAGAAGAATAAGCCACAGCCTTTCTCCCAGCATCCTCAGCGGCGGGGGAAGGAAAATGAAAACGGCCATGTCGTGTTAGAAATCAGTTGTGAGACGAGCGAGTGTGATTCACCGTGTAGCTTGCTAATTCATGTTATGTAGCCTTAAAACTGCGGCTCTGAAAATACCACACCCGACTTCTCATTTGACAGAAAGTATATTTCGTGGAAGTAAGTGCATTATCAAAGTCAGAGGACAAACATGAGCGGAGGAGGGACGCCATACATTGGCAGCAAAATTAGCCTCATCTCAAAGGCCGAGATCCGCTATGAAGGAATTTTGTACACCATTGACACTGAAAACTCGACAGTAGCACTTGCTAAAGGTAAGTTAGCTCATCAAGAGGTGGAGTACAGCATTCAGAAGGGCTGAGGCATTGCTTATAAGTGTGAACCGATGGAAAACTGAAATAATTATCAGCGTAGTTAGTTCCGTTAGCTAGCTCGTAGTTAGCCAACTAATAGCTAAGTGCTGCTGTAGTTGACGCTCTGCGTCCTTTGTTTACGTTGTGTTTGGGCTAGCATGAAATGCTGTGTACCAAACAGCACATAATACAAAGTAAATTACTTTTTGCTATTAAATATCTCATACTGAGATTAGAATGACTGCCTTCTATATATTTAGGTCACATTTAGGTGCTTATTTCGAACATGTTTAGTGAACGCAGTATGAAGCCCACTTTAATGCTCTTAAACGTTTAGATAACACCGAACACCTGCAGACCTGATTAACTGCGTCACAGAGTGTTTGGTAAAGTAGTAGTCTCGAAGTGGATTTGTCGTGGTTTTAACTCTATACTGTATTATTGGATGCTTTTCTAAAGTCTGGACAGAAAAAAAACGAATGAAAATTAACTTTCTAGACTAATTTTGACTTAGCCACGGTCCTATTTTCCTAGTTAGTGTGCTTTTTCTTTGAAGAATTATCTAATAACATGAAAGATACTACGTTTTAACAATATGAGTGTGCGTTTCTATTTTTTTGTTAAAACACATTAAGTCACTACTGTGATTGGGAATAAATGGTAGGTAATGACTGCCTGTCCTTGTTGCCAGGATCTACTAATAGAAAGACTTAAACTTTTAAGGCATTTGATTTATTGCTTGTGTTCTCCCAACAGTTCGCTCTTTTGGCACTGAAGACCGGCCCACTGACAGGCCTATACCACCTCGGGAGGAAGTGTTTGAGTACATCATCTTCCGAGGGAGTGATATAAAAGACCTAACAGTTTGTGAGCCACCCAAAGCCACTAGTTCCCTGCCTCAGGACCCTGCCATAGTTCAAGTAAGTTGATATGTATGTGTGCTTGTACTATGAAATGACTGAATATATGTCATGTATTCTATATGTTTTCTTTAGAAGTCATAGGGAAGTTCTAAGTCCATTTTTTCATGTCATTTCTTTGAAGATCATGCCCTGTGCTTAAGGGCTCATTGTTCCACTGTCATGGTTTGAATGGAACAGAGCCATCGTTAATGTTATTAGTAGCACCTGTGTGTCGCCTGTAATGACAAGCCCAAGTGTCTGCTGTGAAAAGGGCATAGTCTGTCAGTTATGCAAGTCTGTGACCTTTCCCAGAAATAGTCACTAGTATTAACTAAACCAGTAGGCTTTGTGGAAAAGAATAAACGTGCAACAAGGACACACATGTAGCTGTAATTTGTTGTTTTGTTTGTTTTTTTTTCCACCTACTCAGATAAAATTCCAGAGTTTTCAAAAAAGCTGTCAAGGATTTAAAGTCTCACACTGTGACAGATTTTAGTAATAATTCCACGTGATGACCATAACCTTAAAGACTTAGTTTGAAAATCCCTTCAAATATTACCTGCTTCGAAGACCTTTTTCATGACATTCATTTGGGCATACACTGGTTTAGGAGTATCTCACAACATGGTGCTGACCACTTGCTTATACAGAGCAGTTTGCGTTTTACTGACACCTAAGTATTTTCCTAAAATGGCTCATGTCAAAGCACCTCCAGTTCCATTGTTTAAATTTGTTAAAATAAATACATTCCTGTTGCAGCTGATACTTTTATTAATATCACTTCTGTTTTCATGGTGTCAGTAATCATAAACTCAGTGATGGTTGCAAATTTTATTGCATGCCTGTAGTTTTCATGTAAAGTAGGCTTAGAATGACATTCACAAATTGCCCTATAAACTGTTTCCGAGTTACAGTTGATTATTTTATCAATGTCTGTGGTTTGAAATAAACGTTTTCATTAACCTACATCTTCCCTAGGGGACTTTGAATTGGTTTTTGATGTCAGCATTGATTTTTCAACTGGTCGTATGTTTGTTTTTCTAGTCATCAATTGGATCCTCAAATGCTGCACCACCACCATCATTCCAGGCTCCTGGGTCCTATGCACCTTTCAGCAGGGCCCCTGTCCCATCCTACAGCCAGTTTGGTGCTACAGCACTTGGAGCGCAGCAGTTTGGGTCTGCTGGAGCAGCAGGTAAGGAGCAGTTCTTGTTCAAAAAAGTGAATCTATGTAATAATTTACCACAAAGGAGAGCTGTGACTATTGCACCCTACTCCACAAAATAATCTCTCACTTGTGACATAAATATGGGCAGTGAGTTACACACTGGGATGCTTGCCCATTTCATGTGACGTTTGATTTTTATGCTTTAATACACACTGTAAAATGAAAAATTAAAAGTAAATGCAATTAATGGAAAACTTGCATAAAAGACTATGTTTTACATTCACTCCCATAATGTGCTGTAATGACTGCACAAACAACTGAATGGGTTTCAGACATGCTGTTGTCAGTAAAACATCTGTTTTGCAAGCAAATTTGGAGCAACACCTGATTGCTGCTCATTTGCATGGAGCACAGCTGCATGTCCCCTTTTGAATTTCCTGCTACGCACCTGCACCCCATTATGTCTTGAACTGGGAATAGTGGAGATAATTATACAATGCAATTCTGCTAAACTGTTTTGGTGAAGCTGGTAGTGTTGACATTGTTCAAAGGACAAGACATTTGTAAGCTCATGTTTGGTATTTTTCACTGACTGTATACAGTGGATTGCATTTCTGTCTTTGTTAAATACTTCATGTCAGTGTTGTGCAGTGTAATGGATAAATATCAGGGCTGAATTCATTATGTTCAGGTATTTTATTACATTCTTCCCATGTTATATTACTACAGTGCATCTGTCACCTGCTCGAAAGCCAACTGTTCTGGCGCTAAAAGTTTCTGCTTCCCTTCATCTTTTTATCCCCCAGGACGCACTAGCCCCCAGTTGGACTCTTTGAAAAAAGGTCCCTCTCTGGAGCAGGCCGTGAAGGCTGCACCGTCAGCTGCCCAGGCTCCAGCTGCACCTGTCGGACAGAGGAGTCAGAGCGGGGCGGCAGCTGCCAGACCCACCAGCAACACCACTGGCAGCCAAAAGCCCCCAGACCTCCTGGAGCAGAGGAAAGGTAAAATATAGAGCAGACGTGTGGTCAATGTTCACACTGATGTAATCCACCACAACAAAAAGGCCTTCAGAGAGTGAAATACTGCTGAACACAAAATGCTCTGCAAGACCAAAATCAATAGTTCGACTTCTGAGTTGAGCTCCTATGGACATTTAACAAACTCAGATAAGGCTGTTCATCTCTGAAACTGCACTGTGTCTTGTGATGTGTTTTGTTTTTTATCACAAACGTGCGTTGATTGATGGTAAATGTCATCTTTTGCTGTTCAGCTCCTGAGGTTCAGAAAGTGTCGCAGCCAGAGAATGAACACGGTGCTGTTGAAAACCGGGATCCCAACAAGCGCCACCTCGGTAAGTCATTTGTACTTTTTATTTCATAGGACCCAAAATACACTGAACTCCATTCACTGACATGTTCAATTGTTTGTTTTTGGTGCATTTATGAACCAAAATGGCATACTGTCAGGAAATCAGTTTTCCTTCAAGACGACATTCAGCACTTTATTTTCTGTAGTTCCATAGTTTTGTTTGAAATGCAATGTACTGTGATGCAAACTTAACTGATTGCTGTCCTAGTATTTATTGACTGCACAATGCATTACTGGGTTTCAGGTTTTTCCTCTGATTTCTTAGCTGGTATTCAGTCCACTCGCCGCGGCCGTGGAAGAGGAAGCCGCAGCAGAGGCAAAGTAAACGTGCGCAGGGATGGTACCATGAAGTTTGATGAAGACTTTGACTTTGAGACTGCCAACGCCCAGTTCCACAAAGATGAGATCGACAAAGAGCTACAGAATAAGCTCAAGCTGAAAGGTACTTCTTTAACCTGCTTGAGTCTTAAGCAGCAACACCACTTTTTAGCGCCAGAGAGGGAAAACCGTGTCTTTCCTCAACACGTTGTCGCAGATTGATATTTACTCACGATGATGCAAC